ATATATATATATATATATATATATATATATATATATATATATATATATATATATATATATATATATATATATATATATATATATATATATATATATATATATATATATATATATATATATATATATATTGTATTTTAGAGCAACGTAAACGTGACAGAGCAAGCTCTGCTGTTCTATAACATATTAGTAGTCAAGTAATTCATTCACATAAAATAAAATACAGCATACCCACGGGAAAGTAGACTATTTCTGGTTGTTCAATATATGCTTATTTAACTTCAATCATCGATATTGTTCAATTAAAATAAAATAAAATCAATCAGGAAAAACGTTGTTAAGAAGAAGTTAATATACTTTTTATTAAAATAACGGCACATTGAACAGCAACAAATATATATTATGTAAATGAATAAATTAGATACAGTCAATTGTGGGAACATAATCGTCTAATTACAAGATACTTTTTCACGGGAACCGAGAATTTATGTTGAATGATAGATTACTTGATTACTATATAAACAAAAACAATTAATTAATGAGACGAAAATTGGCCGAAAGTTAATGTAAGGAAAGGCAATTTTAAGATAACATTATTTTAATGTAAAAAGCTATTTGATTTATCCCACAATCACTTACGTATTGTAATAAACATGGCTATCTTTCAGTGATGTCTGAGTCGTTTAATTAGTATACAGTGTAACCCAAGCATACTGTTTATGGGATCAATAATTTAATATTTACGCGTCTAAACACAAATAAAACGACGGTTCTTCATAAACAACTGCAACAAACAGCATTGAAATAATTATCTGGCTAAGATGATTCAAATTAGGTGATTTGTATGTATGGATTCAATCTAAAACTAATAAACATCTAAATAAATAATACAAACAAATGCCACTGTACTGACTGAGTAAACGTAACTTGTAGTCTCCGATCACGTGCTTCACGTAAACAATCATGTTTATGTGTTCAATTGCTTCCTAGTAATCCCAGTTATCACATATGATAGAATAAGGGTGTAGGCATGCAAGCATGCAACATTTGAATTAAACCACGTGATAGAACAATACTGGAAACAGAGTACATTGCTCAAAGCTTTTTTCAGTTTTTACACAGTTTCTAAATTGTTCCAACTGAGAAGATAACAACTAAAGCACGTGTTAACATTCCCAATGAGGTGTTGTTTAAGAAGTGATCCTGCTTCTAACTTCGATAAACGGGTGTATATTACTGTATTGTTTCACTTCAACATGACAATACTCCATATAAATTATTGGAATCTTTTCTTTCAGAAAACCAAAGATTATATACCCTAGAGATATAGTGATCTTACACCAGACTGGTAGAAGTAGATTTACACCCAGTCTATCACCTTTTCCACTAAAGTTAGAAACATATCTACGTTTCGCTAAAATACCATACAAGGTCAGTATATATAAGACATTCTGACATTATTTGGTGATCAGCTTGACATTTAAAGATGCGGTATGAAAACTTTAATTACCTGTTCATACAGACACTGTACTAGTGTTGTTTACAGCATACTCAGATGACGACTATTAGATTCACCATTTAGCACAGTACCTACGCCTTTGTAGAAAAATAGTGCCATAGGGAATGTGTCCAGATTTTATATACCAAAACAGGACGTTCACATGTTCAGCAGAAAGAAACACACACAGCCAGCCAAGATGACATGATGTTTCAATCTTTTCATTTATGTTTACAAGGTAGTGATTTTCTGCCTTATGATCAGAAGAAACACAAAAGCAAATACTATGACATATATTAGGACAGTAACAAGATGTAAAGGTTTCATATAAGTCAATGTCTAATGTGCCTTAAGTGCCAAATATGTTAAACTATCCCAGCCCAATGTCGGGTTTCAAGAATGCCAAATGTGTAATTCCAATTGTAAAAGTTTTTATACATTTTAGATACACATTTAACCATCATGTTAGTTTTCAAACTTTCTCTGTGCTATACAGATACACTTGATATTTAGATGTTTGATAAAAAAACGTGTATATGGATGTTGGCCATAACTCGTGAAAACTTGAAAACTTGTGGAAGACAGTCATTTTTCTATACAGCTATTTCTATATAATAAGAGATTTGACCAGTTTATCGTCTCATCCTACATCTACAGCCATAAAACTAGTCGGGTGTTATATACAAGCACCACCAGTTGTTGCACAAACTGATTACACATTGAGTATTAAATCACAACATTTGTCAGGCATGCCTGAGTTGATTTCATTAAAACCTGGCATGGACGTCATACATGATAGGGTACTGGTACACGCTAGTTTGACAGTTTTCGTTTCGGAAACTTATCGGGAACTAATAATTTTGGATCAGTCTGTCCATGCGTTCGTCCAGAGCCATTTTTCGAACATTTTACTCATATCTCACACAACGACCATGTATACTGCCTTACTTATGATGATCAACTGTTTTTAACCACTGTTTTTTATGTCAGCCATTCTGGTTAAAGTGTTAAAATATGTTTCTCAAAAATGCTCAGACTTTGAGTCATAATCATGGATAATGACTTATTTGGGATTAATTATTTTGAATTTAGAAGTTTTCATGGTACAATATCTGATCTATTTTTATCAACAAGATAAGCTTTTTCAACTTAAAAAATCTTCTACGGACTTCGTTATATAAGAAATCAGAAAAAAACATCGATATCTCGTAATCACGAAAAGGTTTACATGTATATGTTACTTCTGATTTGTTTGTTTATTTCAGTCTGTCCATGGTAGACAGTTATCGCCCAAAGGTAAAACACCATGGATTGAATACAATGGACAAACATTATCCGATTCCGGTTTTATTATTGAATTTTTGAACAAAGAGTTCAAAGTTGATCTCAACACTCATCTCAGCCCGTCAGACATTGCAGTAGCAAGGGCGTTTCAGAAAATGGCAGAAGAACATCTGTACTGGTAAGGCAATCAACAATGTTTTATGACGTAATTCAGGATATAATCATTTTCAGCATATTACCTCTTTTGTTTGTGTTATTTTGTTGTTCTATAACTGATAAAATAAAACTTAGCCTTTGTATTTGTAATTTCATATTCTGTTGCCAAGCTACGGTTATTTACATGCAAGGATAGACTATAGAGATGAGAGAGAGGCACAACTGCTAAATGTCTACTGTACGATGTTATTTTGCATATAATTAGGTAATAATCAACCACACATTCTTAACACACGGGTGTTTTTTTAGAATTTTCTGTCAGTTACATAAACCATACAAGTGTTGTAAAAAGTATTTTAAAATGTACATGCGGTTATTCAATTTGTATTAGAACACACAGTATTGGTCCTCACCACATACTCTGAGCTATACCAAGATATTGTTAAGAATTTTAATTTGGCAAAAGGACCCCGTACAGCACACATACTAATTTCTATTGTTGTGTATTATTTCCTATCTATGGTTTATGAAGCAAGCCACAATGGTAAAAGCAACATTCACCACAATGTGAATGTTGTGTCTAAGTTGATAATTTGGGAAGAGTTGTGTATGTGTAGTGGAAGTTTTTACATCGGTCATAATACAACAAAGGCAGTTTACAGGTACTTGGTCAAATTCATAGACAAACATTGACTGTATAGCATTTATAGTTGAGATTTGTGTGTCCAAGATAGTCACTACCAACCGCACTGATTTTGACGGCTATACGAGATTCCATACTCGCAGATTTTGCCAGTCGTAGGTGGCCCGGAAGAACTAGACTCGTGCTCAAACTATGCCATGTGTATCAGTTCTAAATATATGTCTTTAACACGGAATATTATGCTAGTTTTTACCATATGATTTTCTGTCTGTCAACCGCAACAAAAGTCGTATTGTGCTTATCAAGACGTTTAATTACTTTTACAGTGTGTTCTCGAAATTAGGGACACTTACATTTTTTGAAAAATTAATAAATTGACACAGTTTGTATAGTATTAACATTTTAACAATTATTTTAGGCGCGTCCAAACATGTATGATAAAGTTTGTTGCAGCGATGTAATTGAAATGGACAAATTAAAATTGAAATGTGTGTGTTCACAATGAACACGAAAATGAATTTGGTTTGTACCTAGCTTTGTGCCTTGGTTGATTCTCTCTCAGAACTATATGTTACGTAATTTAAATGTATTAATTTATTGCATTGATTTTATTTGCGTTATATGTATATACTGCCTTCAATGAAACTGTTTTATTTATTCAGAGTAAAACCGGGTCCAGATCTGCACAAGGAATGTCGAGATAGCACAACGCTCCCTCTAATGCCACAACTGAATCACTGTTGTTTTTGTTATCCATTAATTTATCATTTCTCCCCTTCTCGTAAAGGACTGTCACGTATATAAGGTGGGTTGCGGATGATCAAAAACGAATGAGACCATTTATAAAAAGCGGTTTCCTAACATCAATTATTCTGAAATCATTTGGAAAATCTGCCAAGAAAAATCTGTATGCACAAGGTATTGGCAGACACACGGAGGAAGAAATATACAGTATTGCTGATAAGGATCTTAGAGCTTTGTCGACGTTTTTGGGTGTGTATTTCATGGAATAGTGTTGTAAGGCGCAATAGATGTTTTGACGACTGGAATACATTTGAAGCGAGAGAGTCGTCACCTGCGCATGCGTCAAATGGCCATAACGTGTCTTGTCTACAAACAAACATCTACCCATGAGCCTTTGCGTTTTGGGCATGTGTTGTTATCGTCGCTTGGCACTCAATTCCCGCGCGTGCGCAAGTAACACTATAATTTTCAATTTAGTCCCAAGTCGGGAGGTTTAAAATATCTTGTTGGAATATAACATGTTCTAAATTTGAATTTTCTATTTGTGATGTGTACAGATGTGTGCATACATTGTCTGAAATTATCAAAAGCTAGAGTAAAATTCTGTAATATGTAGAATACACGTTTTATAATCCATAACTGTTTGTATTCTTCTAAAATATCATTAATTTAAATATCGGTGATTTCAGAATACAGAACTTATCATGTTTTCATTTCCATGTGTATATACAAAATGTATATGGCAATGATATTTAATTTATCTATCATGACCTACATGGGTATTTTGAAATATTGTGCAATCATGCCATGCGTATTGGGTATAAACAAAACTTTTCCTACGTACTATATATACTACAACGTACTATATTCATACGACACTTGAGTGAAGAAAAAAATATATATTCCTTGTGTCGGTTACTGTATTGTTCAAAATTCGTTTTTTGAATAGTTTATAATTGGGACCTATTTCAGAAACATTCCATCATATCTAAAAATGTTGTTCGGTGACCTATGCTTAAAAAATTATATGTAATGTTACATATGTATCAATTTGCACATACAAAAAAAAAAGTCAGAAGAGACAACAGCGACATTCAAAGTCCGGAACTGTTGCCTGGCACCTAACCAATTATTGTTTACACGTTGTTAGCATAGACGTCGATACATTGATACACATTTAGATAATGAGGGACTCATATTAGAACTCGCATACTTGCTAGGACATATAATGTTACATATATCTTTTAACAGGTGACAAAGCATTCATGTTTGGTGACGAACCCAGTGAAGTAGACTGTGCTATATTTGGCTTACTGGCTCAGATACTATGGAACCTGTCAAACGCGCTACCGGAAATAAAAGGTATATTTGCATATTTGTATATTTCATAAATATATTCATTTTCTTCTGGGAAGTGAGCACAAAACACGTTCCGCAAATGTTAAACTTACTACACGATATACATTGTATAATTGGTACGAATTCGGACATAATAATGAATTAAAGATGTCTAAAATACAACAATACAACAAATATGACACATCCATAAACCTAACCTATGCACTTGTCTCACTTAACTCGGCTGATCGATTTGATATTATGTCGGTTGTAGAGAATTCTTCTTCGTGTATCCCACTCCCAATAATCCAGGGCTTTTCGTGTTTTTTTTAAATACCCACACTTAATCCTATATATATAACATGTTATTTTCTTTTCCAGGGGACTGCAGTAATTTACAAGATTATTGTTACAGAATGAAAGAAAGATTCTGGCCGGATTGGGAGCAGTGCATCATGGGAGATGACCTTCGCCCATGCACCCACCCATCAACAGACCCGACTGTTTTTAAAAATTAACCAATCTGATTAAAATCTGATGTAGTGTACGGGCTTTAATTATTTTGGCTATAAACTTATTTTAATTTTATTTTTTATTACTTTTGTTATTAATGCCTTTTTATTTTATTATTTTACTTTGATTTTGATTTTTTTTAATTCCGCCCTACATACATCTGATCCGACGCCTACGTAAGTCCCGTTCAAATCTCGCGTAAGTAACAGCCAATCACAGGCCCCCTTTTATACAGGCTGTCGGTTGCTTACTTTTCAGTG